CACACACACAGACACACACACACAGACACAAACACAAACACAGAGACTCAGAGACTCACACACACACACACACACACACACACACACACACACACACACACACACACACACATACACACACACACACACACGGTTAATATAGTCAGCTAAAGTTAAAACAATAAAAAAACTTACTTGAAATAATGTAAAATATTTCTCATTTTCATTTAATTAACAAAACAGCTAAAACTAAACCTGAAATAAAAATGATTACAAAATACATATACATATTTGAAGAGTTTATTTGCAAAAACAGATAACTGTTTTTATTAATTTTCATAAATCATGTTTGTTTATTGTGTTATCATGTTTTTATTGTGTGAGTTAGCTGTATTTTATAAAAACATGATTTTGAGTTATCTGTTTTTGCAAATGAACTCTTCATTTATATTTTAAAAAACTGAAATGTAAACAAAACATAAAAATAAAAACTAATTCCAAATATTTATAAAACCTATAATAGTATCTCAAAGTTACTAAAATAACACTGTTTCTCATTGACCGTCTGAAAATTACATTTAATTTTTGATTAACTATATTTCTGAAAAATGCTGTCTTACCAGTATTTACACTAAAATAATAATTAACTGGCTATTTAACTTATATGAGCTTGATTGATTGGCTTGCTAATCACATTAGGGTACAGAAATAATAAAATTGTACTTTTTAAATCAATGAGGAAAGATTTAGGTCATGATTCATATTTTTAAGTCTACATGAATTGTAATAGAATAACCAGTATTTTGTTTACCTTGTAAAAGTAATAGAGTAAAACTGCAAGCATTTAGTTTTAACAAAGCTCAAGTACAAATTCCAGCAAATAGCACTTAAGTATAGTAGTGAAGTATTACTCAAACACATGGTCAAAGACATGTAAATGTCCACATCAAAATACATTTTACAAAAGTGATTTTATATACATAGAAAGCACTTTAAATGCAGCCTCATAAGCCTCAGTAAAAGCCTCATAAGGTTTCAAATAAGCTTTGGCAGAATAAAATGTCAAAATGTGGGTGAAATAATGTTCCACTGTCATTCTGTGTAACACTTATATTTATGCAAAAACTGAAACAGCATACTTATTCTGACCTGTGCATATTAAAATATATAAAAGTGAGCATACTCAACTTTATTGCATTTTAAATGAGTAAAAAAAAATTGCTGACAAATGGCCAAAATAGGAAAATGTAAAATTACAAGTAACTAGTATTTGGGGTAAAACTAATTAGTCTTTTAATATGTCATAAATTGATCATTGTGATAAATATGCCTAACAAATTACACTGAATTACATTTTAGTATGTGTTTTCTGTAAATCATGGTAAAAATGTGCGATGTCACGCCCATGGACTGTTTTGTGTTCTCCCTGAGACCTAGTTTCTCCCTCATGTTGATTGTGTTCAGTGATTTCAGGTGTGTTCCATTGATTTCCTTGTTTAGTTCCTAGTTCTTAAGCCCTGTGTTTTCCTGTGTTCTGCGTCCAGTGTTAAACGTCCTTAGGTTCCTGTGCTACGTGTGTGTTAATGAAGTCTGTGATTTCTGTATTCTGCGATGTCTCCTCGCTCCTTCGCTCCTCGTCTCCGACACTATTTTTTTGCACAGAATTTCTTTTTTTTATTAAACAGGACACTTTCTAATGTATTGTAAAACAACAACAATTCAAAGCTGTATTACACTCATTGTTTTGACGCTTGCAAACCCTTTTTCGTCTTTGAGCCACACACTCTCACCTCGTACTCGGTGGCGTTGTCTCCGGCAGTCGACACAGACAGGTCACTGTAAAGGTCATTGTAAAGGTCATCGTCAAACTCCTCTTCGATTGGTTTCCTTGGTGGCTTCTTGACCTGCAACAGACACCACACACCATAGAAACTTCTTTTCCATTCATTTTTCCCACAGGGATTTTAAAAAGTCATAATTAACAAGTTTTAATCCATGAGGAGAATCACAACATTACAAACGCTGATTGTGAGCAAAAAAGTGTAAGAAAATCAGGGACACAAGACTGTGAACTTAATGCCTTTAGTGAGGGAAAGAACTACAATCCCATGCAGCTTTGTGAAGGACATTTATGTATGTTTGGTGAAGATTTCTCAATCACTGTTGAAATAATGCAGGCTTATGGCTTTAACAAAACATAAATCACTGATTAATAACCTTGTCGCTCACAGCAGGTCTGTCTTTGAAGGTTTATGAGTTATAAAAAATCAGTTCCTCTATGGAGAAAATAAGAAAGAGAGATGGTGTTTGTGCAGCTGAGCAACGGCTGTAAATCAGACACACAGCAGCTGAAGAGTGTGATAGAAACACTGGCAGGAGTCCTCAACAACATGTTTAACACTGTACTCACGACCGGGCCAAAGAACAGACATCAATATTAATGACGGAGACGTTTGAGGTGTTTTATATTCATTATCAATGCAGAAATACTGATGTGAATATGAATGAACTGTGCATGTTAATGAGCTCCTCCCGTGGGCGGGGTTACCTCCACGGGGTCCAGCGATAGGCTGTTGTAGGTGAGGGCGGAGTCACAGTCAGGAATGTGGGTGTGGCAGTAATCAGCAGCAGCTCTGGGGTCTGGAGCGATTAACAGCTGCTGGATCTCACCCTGAAACACACACACACAAACATCAACACACACACACACACACACCAACACACACACACATACACACACACACACACACACACACACACACACACACACACAGACACACACATCAACACACACACACACCAACATCAACACACACACACACACACACACACACACACCAACACATCAACACACACACATCAACACACACACTCCAACACATCAACAAACACACACAGACACTCCAACATCAACACACACTCTCTCTCTCACACACACACACACACACACACACTCACCTCAAACACTTCTTCATCCAGGAGTCTCGTCCCGAACACTGTCACTCCGTCCGTGCTGACCTTAGGCTCCGGGCCTCTGGGGAGGTCAAGGGTCGCTACTTTCTGACAGTCCAGGTACAGCGTGACCTTTTGACCTTCCACGCTGTAGGCCACTCTGTGCCACCTGTAGGGTCAGAGGTCACAGTGTCCATCAGCACACGTCCAGAGCGAGAGATGAACGTTCAGAGCGAATCCAGCGAACACCTGCAGGCTGACTGATGAGCTTCGAAGGGTTAAATCAGGCAAAAATGTGACTCGTGCTACATATTTCAAGTCTTCTGAAGTCACACGATAATTTGTGCGGTTTGTGAACAGACTCAAACTGATTCAGTCACGACCTTCTGCTCCAATGAACTGAACTCAAAAAGCAGTTCGGTTCATGCATGAATCAAACAGTTCATTCAGACTCTGACTCACAAGAACAAATCAATTCATGAATCAGACACTGACTGACTGAGTTTCATCAAACCGAACCAAAACTGAACTGAACTACTTCAACTATTGCAGAGCTGCTATAGAGCTGAAATTGAATTGCTTTCATAATTGATGAACTTCACAACATTAACACTGATATCTTCCTGTGAAGCTGCTTCCACACAATCTGTACTGATTTAAAGCACTAGAAATAAATGTGACTTGACTTGAGAGGTTTTATTGTCTGAGTTTGGGTTTGTTCCTCACACAAAGCATCGTTTGACTTCAGAAGAGTCATACTGACCACCTTTATGAAGCTTTTATGTCATGAACAGCCTCAGTCCTCATTCACTTTCATTATGAGCAAACGAATGCCACACACTGTCTTCAGAAACTCTCCTTGTGTGTTTTACAGAAAAAAGAAAGTCAAATGATGAGTGTTTGGATTAATTATTCTCTTCATATAACTTAAGAATATAAATATATCTGCAGTGTGTCCTGCTTTAACTGACTGTAGCTTCGGAAATTCACTGAATCACATGTAGAACTGAAATGATTCGGTTTCTGTCAGGAAAAAAACTAGTTCAGTTTTGCTGAATAATGAATGTGCATTAGGGTTTTGTCACTCACTTGCCGTCGGCGAGGTTGACCTTCTTGAAGATGGGGTAGAGGTCAGGGGTCGGCTGGCCGTGGTGGTCCTCGTAGAGGAAGACGGGCGAGCGTCCGAGCTCCAGGCCCAGCTGCTGCACTCCCTCGCTGTCATACATCGACAGCAGAAAACACTGAGCGCCGCGCCGCGCTCGAACCGTCACCAGCACCGAGAAGTCCTCCGGGAACGCCGAGTCTGAGACACACAAACACACTGAGACTCTCTGAGACGCACAAACACACTGAGAGTCTCTGAGACGCGCAAACACACTGAGAGTCTCTGAGACGCACAAACACACTGAGAGTCTCTGAGACGCACAAACACACTGAGAGTCTCTGAGACGCACTGTTTAAGTGTTTTTGAAAGAGGTCAAAAATACAGTAAAAAACTATGTAAAATCGCTGTTTTCTATGCGAGTATCTGTTAAACTGTAATGTATTTCTGTGATGCGCAGCTGTATTTTCAGCATCATTCCTCCAGTCTTCAGTGTCACATGATCTTCAGAAATCAGTATAATATGCTGATTTGCTGCTCGAGACACATTTTGAACATGTTGAAAACAGTTGTGCTGCACAATATTTCTGTGGAAACTGTGATGCAGTTTATGTTTCAGGAATCACAGATGAACAGAAAGTTCAAAAGAACAGCATTTATTTCAAATAGAAATCTTTTGTAACATTATAAATGTCTTTACTGTCACTTTTTATCAATTTAATGCATCCTTAATGATTAAAAGTATTAATTGTATTAAACCATTAAAATGTATTCCAAACTATAAAATTATCTGCATATAAAAACAGGAGAGGTCTACGAGATCTCTGTTTACAGTAAGTGTGTGTGTGTGTGTGTGTGTAGCAACTTAACCATATTTTGGGGACAAATTTGTACCCAAAAGTGAGTGTGTGTGTGTGTGTGTGAGTGAGTAAGTGTGTGTGTGTGTGTGTTGGCACATACCTGGGAAGAGCTGATTGGTCGGAACACTAACTTGGATTTTCTTCTCAATCTTATAAGCGAGATCCACCTCCTCTGAGCCCCGCCTACTCGTGCACAGCCCCGCCTCCAATGACACGCCCTCCATGGAATCTGATAGGTCCAGAATCTTCAGCACATCGATGTTATTGGCTGCTGGAGATGACACTGTCAGTCAAGTTAATGTCTCATGAAGAGTCCTCACATCTGTCTGTCTGTCTCAGCTGTTAGGACACACACTGACTGTGTGTGTGTGTGTGTGTGTGTGTGAGTGAGAGTGAGTGAGTGAGTGAGTGAAAGTATCTTCATGCAGGTCTAGACTGGTCATGTGTCTTTTCACATCAGTCCTGCTGCTTGTATAATCCCTGCATCTACAGCACACACACACACACACACATACACACACACACACACACACACACACACACACTCACACACACTCTCTCTCTCTCTCTCACACACACACTCACTCTCTCTCTC